CAGCAGGATGTCCTGTAGTGAATGTTACAGGGTAAGTTTGGAATGTGATGGAGCTCCATTTTTTTGTTACATATATACTACTGCTACAGAACTGGACCCACTAAAGACAATCATGCACAGGTGTGTGAATGTGCACAGGAAGGGCATAGCAACAGAGACCATGAATGTTCAGGGTTATGAAGCATGTTGAGTTCTATCCGAATGAATGTTTCTCTTGCTTACTCACAGTCAAAAAAGGGTTGCCCAGCAAAGCTGAAGTATTCTGCTGAATCTTGCAAAATATAACCCACACCCCAAGCTTATTGCGGGGATTTTAATATCCTATGGTACCAGCCAGAGAAAAACAACAACCATTTCGACACACGTTGGCCCTTTTTGTTGAACGTTGTTATTTACAGTTTGGACATCTGAGAGGTTAGTTTCTCAGGTGAGGCCGCCAATTCACTTGGGTAATTAATGGCTTATTGCCGACATGCGAAACTTGACCGTGTGCTTATGGATACCGAATGGGAACTAAAGTTCATGTGCTTATGGGTACTGAATGGGAACTAAATCCCCCCCGATAACGATGCACGTGGTTGAACACATCGATACAATTTCAGACCATCCTCATAATTCTTGATTCAAATTCTACGATTCCTTCCACTGAATGCCACCCATTCAAATTTGAGTTGTGATGGTTGCAGCGGGATAACTTGCAGATCTTACCAAGAATCTTTGTCATACGCCTATTGTTGGTTGAACGCCAATCCAGAGATGGAATTTCAAAATCCATGCCACAAGGCAATTCCTAAGTGGCTAGCTCAAACTTATCAAAGATACAAAAAGGAAAATCAATGCCTCTCCACAATAATTCATGACCTCGATAAAATTGCCGAGACTCATACACCGTCCGCACAAGAGATTGATACTAAAAAACAACTAAATCAGCAGATGGCAGGGAGTAGGAGTTCGCAATGCACAACATCATGATATTGTACGAGTCAACTTCCACTCCCAAAACTTGTCTGACATATGAGCAAGAGTTGTAGGCTTACAAAGTTTCCTTGTTGTCGAATTTTGCTATATAGTTTGGTCAACATTATTTTTCTAACGATAGTAGTTTTAAGGCGTAGAGCATACATCCATGATTTATTATCACATGTTTTCCACAATGAGAGATACAAAAAAAATTATATCTACAAACAAAAATAGTAATTGCTAAAGTAGTATTCTAGAAGGTGTGCTTTAACAAAATACAATTTTTTCCAAAGCTATATGGAAGTATACCTTTTATTAACTTTTTTGTATATGTGGCACATTTGTGCATTATGGAATAATCTAACAAGATATTTACAAATACTGAAGTAGGCACAAAAACATATAAATACACATTATATGTGGTTTTGTCATCTTATATGCCTGGTTTTGGTTAGATAAAATCCAGTTCACCAAAATATCAAAAACTAGAAGTAACACAAATTCCATAATAAATGGTTTATAATTTGGCATTGGTGTTTTCGTACTAATATGCATCTAATTGCAAGATTTAATTACAATATTACCAATGCAATTGTGTGATTAAATATTGTTAAAATACAATAAAATATAATAGTTAATAATGTATGATATATATGACATCAACAAAAAAAATTATTGAGATTTATTACATCGACAACAAAAGTAAATTTATTTAGTATAAATATGTGATAATGTTTGTATTGAATTACCCAAGTTCAATTAAATAGTACAATCACAACCAAATACTTCAGAAAACTAATATTATGACCATGATAGATTACACTAGAAACCAGGAAGGATTATTGTTTTCGACAAACTGATTTTCACAATCATTACGAGAAGCAGACCAAGATATTTCGAAGCAATCATTTATGTTTTGATCCGCATCAACAGTAGCTTTCCACATCTTCTCAATTAGGTTTGTTTGTTTCAATGAAATGGAAAATGTGGTTTTAAAATTTAAAATTTTGTTATAATTAAAAAAACCAATGTAACTAAATCATATTTTCAATTAATTTATAAATTAAACATGTATTGTTTTTGGAAATATATCATATATTATTGCTAAAAACGGAATTAGTCATTACTAAATCAATCTGTGACATCTTGAGCAACTACCAAACTACCGTACCTAGACATTTTGAACGAGCATAGAGCAATTTACTGATTGATAATTATCATCACAAATTATATTGCTACAGTTTACACAATGTCGACAACACCTAAACACGTTATAATGTCAATTACACAATTTATTAGTTGGTGAATCGATCGAGCATTAACTTATTACTACTTACCAGTAATTTTTCGGTGATGATAATACATCCTAAATGTATCTATAAATTTTTAGTTATGCATGTAATTTTTCTAACCAAAACATGCAAGGTTTTAATTTTATTTGGAGTAATCTATTGAGAAAATGTCGTGAAGGGCATTTGCATGCTTTTGTGTCTTTAATTGCTAAAACCTCTAGACTTTGAAGAAAATAAAGAAAATGTTAAAGAACAAAATCTAGAGGACGCAACACCCCATTGTCTGGGGGAGGGGGACCCCGGGTAGTCCCAAGACGGCGAGTCGGGCAGGGTGCCCGCCTGCCCGGGCCGGCTGCCCTGGCTTGCGCCCGCAGCCGGTTGCTCCAGCCAGCCGGCTCCCCGAAGTTAACTGCGACATCACATCTGGCCCGACGCAAACAAGAGGGCCATACCCTGGTCACTATTGATGAATAGGCGCGCACTATGCGTCTGTCATGCGTCGTCATCCGTGGTGCATGTTAGGTACCGTTGATAACACACAAGTATAGGGAATTGCAACAGTTTTCAAGAGTAGAATATTCAACCCAAATTTATTGATTCGACACAAGGGGAGCCAAAAAATATTTGCAAGTATTAGCAGTTGAGTTGTCAATTCAATCACACCTGGAGAACTAAATATCCACACCAAGGTGATCAGTAGCACGGAAGTACGATAGTTTGATAGCAATGGCAACAAAAGCAATTGTAATGGCAACAGTAGCAGTAACACTTTTTGTAGTGATTATAACAGCAGCAACAATAGTAACGTAGCAAAGATCAAATTGTGAAAAGCTCGTAGGCATTGGATCGGTGATGGATAATTATGCTCGATAACATTCATCATGTAACAGTTGTAACCCAGGGCGACACAGAACTAGCTCCAATTCATCAATGTAATATACACATATATTCTGTATATAATCATACGTGCTTATAATAAGAACTTGCATGACATCTTTTGTCCTACCCTCCCGTGTGAGCGGGGTCCATAAGGAAACTAAGGGATATTAATGTCTCCTTTTAATAGAGAACCGGAACAAAGTATTAACACATATTGAATACATGAACTCCTCAAACTACGACAATCACCGGAAAGAATCCAAATTATTGTCACCTTGGGGTACGCGGGTCATAACACATAATAGGTGCATACAACTTGCAAGATAGGATCAAGAACATAAACATATTCGTAAAAACATAAATGATTCAGACCTGAAATCATGGCACTCGGACCCTAGCGACAAGCATTAAGCATAGCAAAGTCATACCAACATCGATCTAAGAACATAGTGGATATTAGGGATCAGGCCCTAGCAAAACTAACTCAATTACATGATAAATCTCATCCAACCCAAATAACATCAGTGCCTAGCTAATTTTGCAAAAAAAATCATGTAGAAATTAAACCAAGCATGAACAGTCCAAGCTACGCCGAGGCGGCAGCCATGTGGACGGGTTTTTCTCTTCTGAACTGGTTTTAGCTTAACTGATCAAAGAAACAAGTTTATGGACTAAATTTGACCACTTCTTGAATTATTAGACTAAAGTGTGCAATCAATTTGAGTTAATAGACTAGTGGCGCATTTCACTCCAGATTGAGCATATATTGTATTATGCACAGATCTAAACACACTGATTTTGACTCTCAACAGCACCCCACAATCTCATATGGCTTACAACAAGGTTGAGATTAATTACTTGTTAGACTCTGATTTTAGCAGTGATAGGCTGTAGAATGTGGTAAGTTCCAGGAATGTTAAATAATCTAGTTATGTTTTCCATTCATTTTTAAATGAAGAGTGTTTCAGCTAGCTAAAATATTTGAATGGAAAAAAATGTTCCTTGGAAAAACCTTGGCAATGACAAACACAACATTCTAATAAACCTTGTGCAAATACAAGTGAGGTCTAATCCTTTGTTGGATATAAAGTGACCCCTTGCAAATATGGGAACACTAGCATGAATAATGCGCTTTGCCACACCATGGAGATTTGAGGACATCCTAGAGCAAGTATATTATATCATCCAAGGTTATTTGTCGCTCGTCCACGATGGAAAAAGTTTTAAAAAAATTAACCAAAAACTATGGGACTATTTTAGTTCCTCTGTCCAACTCAAGCGCACTTTAATGCTGTATGAGTTGGTCTGCTGTCTTTTATAGTGAAAGATCTAGAATGTAGACATGATTAACCATTGCTAGAAGTTATGCATGGAAGCCTCATCGAGGGTGTGATTGGCATTGCTGCCACGACGTTGATGCCACCTACACAATTTGTCGCTGTTGCACGCGCCACATGGTTAGTGAAGGTGGCAGGTGGCAAGCAATGGCCTAGGATTAGCAGTGGGCATCAGGGTCGATGGGGCAAACACATCGGAGTGGCCATAACGGGATATGAATTTTTGCTTGTAAATTGTGATAAACATTAACACAATGTTTCTGATCACAAATCAATTGTACCTACTGAAATCCAGCAAGTTATAAAGGCAAATCGCATAGTTAATTCATAGTAGAATAATACTCCCTCTGTAAACTAATATAAGATCGTTTAGATCACTACTTTAGTGTTTTAAAAGATTTTATATTAGTTTACAGAGGGAGTACAATTATGTCCTATATGATCATGTAGTACAATGCAATATCTTCTGACCTGAACTAATATACAAAAGGTCGTAATAGTTTGTAGATGCAATACCATAATGTTTGCTTGCATAAAGTTACAACCATGCACCACAATAGTGACATCATTGACACGTGCTGAAAGTGCAGGTACGTAAACATGCATTGCTACCTGAATATGCAGGCTCCTCGTGTCACTTCGACGTCATAGCATTGGACCACACATGTGGAATAGCTCTCAATTTCAGGTCATACTTTTTGCTTACCGCAAACCCAAATTTCTCGGACGTGTCAAACGAAGCAAGGTTAACACCATTAGGGAGCATCTAATGGAAGTGATAAAAAAGGTTTGCTAATGCCATCTCAGTGATTGATGAGCTAAACTGAATCCCCGGGCATTGCCGTCTCCCAGCCCTGAAGGGAATGAACTGAAAGTAAGCCCCTTTGTAGTTCACATTGTTGTTCTCAAATCTCTCTGGCATGAACTCTTCAGGATTGATCCAATATCTAGGATCCCGAGAAATTGCGAAAATATTAATATATACATTAGTGCCTTTAGGGATATCATAACCCTTAACTGTACAGTCTTCTCTGGCCATACAGGGAATCAGAGGACCAGGTGGATGCAACCTAAGAGCCTCCTTGATGATCATCCGCATATAGTGGAGTTCACCAAGCTCACTATTAGTAATGACAGATCGGCTTTCACCCAACACATCGCGTACTTCATGCTGTGCTTTAGCCATAGTGTGAGGGTTGTGCATAAGCTCTGATACGACCCATGCCAATGTGTTCCCTGTGGTCTCGGTAGCCCCTGCAAATACGTCCTGCAAACCAAAATAATCATGAAAAATGCAATGTTAAAGCATTGATGTATGTGCATATTATGTCTTCTCTCTGTGTATATATAGAAGAAAGAGCTATTCCATAACCGGCCGAAAAATATTACTATCTCCGTCCGGAATTACTTGTCGCTCAAATAGATGTATCTAACACTACATTTGAGCGACAAGTAATTCAGGACAAAATATTTTTCTACAACTGGATCGGCCTGCATAGAAGCCGGTATCTAATTTGTGAATCTAAAATAGTGCTAGAACAAATGGATGCATCTAGCACTACATTTGAGCGACAAGTAATTAGATATCGGCTTCTATGCGCTATCCACGTCCCTCTAATCCGTCTCGCTCGGGTCATTGAGTCGCTACGAGAAACTCTCCCCCTTGCCGTGTTGAGAACTGAGACCGTGCCCTTCCTCCCACGGTTCATTCCAGGTCCTTGTGGAATCCCCAACGGTGTGTGCAGATTTATGAAATTGCAAGTGATCCGGTGGATATGACAACTCTGTTAAAATTGCTCTTAGTTTCCCCATAAAGCTGGAGGGAGTGGATGCCCGACCTGCCTACACACTAGTGTGTACTTTCTCTGTAAACTAATATAAGAACGTTTAGATCACTACTTTAGTGATCTAAACGCTCTTATATTAGTTTACGGAGGGAGTATTTATTACTTTTGTTGTGTTATTTTTCGTGGTTCCACCATTTTTTATGTATCAATATTAGTATTTTGGTTTTCATGTTAATTTTTTTCTTCAAATTTTTGTTATTATCCTTCCTTTTCATGTACTTTTTTTATTTTTCCTCACTTGTTGATTGACTCATAATTTATATGTTTTTATTTACTTCACGCAGAGAATAATGGCCTTCAGAACCAAGTGCGGTTCTTTCCACAGTTACGTTTTGGATTAATGATCGGAGCATTTTGTAGGCGAAGGAGGACACAAGACTGGGGCAGCAGCGGTGCGCAAAGCTCCTGGAAGGAGTCGCGGCTGAAATCGTTCAAGCCAAACGCAGTTGGGCGTCCTGGATTCTCAGGCTAGATGGCGGTTGAACTTTCAAATGTTGGTCTGGGGAAAGTAATGCTTGCCAGAAGGAAATATGTAGCGTTTATTTTGAGTAATATTTTTTGCTTTTGTTGTAATAACTGAACGGGAAAATGCTTATAGGATTTGGTTGTGAGTGGTTACCTGGGCTGTTCAGGCAGCTGGTAATTTTTTTGCTGGGAAAGAAAAAAAAGCCAGCTGGTAGGTGTGAATTTTCTATGGCATGCGCCTGCCAAGCATTGTCTGATAGTTCGATTGCCTCGTGATTCATGAAGTAATTGGATCATGCATGATGGCACCTTAAATTTTAAGTTTCAGTCGTTGAAATTTACAATTTTTCATCTGAAAATTGTGACCTTTTTCTCAAAAAAGAAAACAAAAACTTGCGAGTTTTTCTCGTTCGCTCTTCCAAGTTTAATGGATAAAACTTTAAGGCAGTTTTTTGTTGGTCGTAGTCATAAAAATCATGATTTCATCAGTCGCTCGTACTAAGTTTCATGAGCTGAAACTTTATATTTATTTTCAAAATTCTTCAAAATGGATCTTAGTTGAAAGCACTCGCCACAAGAAACACAAATATAAAAAGAACTTAATTTGAACCTTTTATTTAGAAAATATAAAGTTTGAAAATCAAAAGCCAAAAAATGCACATGTGGGTGACTCGGTGCCCCGTACTTGTTTGTCCCAAATCCTCTCCCGGTCTTCCACTAGCAGATTAGCTTCATGCTGGTAATTTGAGTTAATTACACGATAGTACCACATTTGGGGCGGTGGTGGCGAATTGATACCATTTCTAAAAAAATTTACGTGTCAGTACCATGTTTGAGTCGAACCGTTGCGAATCGGGCTAAACCTCGTATTTCTACGTATTGACGCTGGAACTGACCGCCCGGGCCCGCGTGTCAGCTGCCACGCTGGCGAATCGGTACCCGCCCGCTCGCTCGATAGGTGCGGTCCGGCTCGAACCGGACCGACCCGTGCTCTCTCTCTCTCTCCTTTCCTCTGTTCCTCTTTTCGTCGACGAACCCTAGCTCCACCGCACGTCTGTACGGCGATGGCGGCGGCGACCCCGGGCGGTGGTGGCGGCAGCGGCGGTGGCGGCAACGGCGATGGCGGCGACGCAAACAATCCCCGCTTCAGCAGCCGCGCGGCAGGAGGAATCGACGGGAGATCTCCAATCGAGGGCGGCGACGGCTACTCGAGCTCTGACTCGTATTCCAGCGATGACGAGGAGTTCATGGAGCCCGCACTGTCCATGGAGCAGCGGGTACGGCTGGCACAACAATGGGTGGCGAACCCTAGCTGTAGCCACGAGCTGACCCACGACTTCGGCGGAGTCCTGTAAGTTTTCTCTCTTTTTTTGTTCTCATTTAATTTGTAATTAGGGTTATAGTGTACTGATTAGGCAGATTGCATGTGAATTGTAGTTTATATGAAGACATATGGAATGTTAGGATCCATTTTGACAATAATGATCTGTTAGAGAGGAAGTTAAGCTGTTCAGATGTGACATATCTGAATATGGTTGCTTTGATGGAAACACAAGGCTTTAGTATTGATGATTCACTGCTGTTTTACATGGAGACCCCAGGAGAGCAGGGTTTGGAATTGGTTGATAGTAATGTTAAACTACAGTTGATCAAGAGGCAGAATGAGGAGAGTTTGGTGCTTAATTTGTTATTTAGGGCTTGTCCACCAGCTGTTAGTGTAGCACAGAAGGGTTTTGCAGAGAAGCAAAATTTAGATCCTATTGTTTATTCTGAGCCTGTGGTTTATGATCTGGCTGATCCTCCTGTTTATGCTGTTGATCAGCAAGGTGTTGCTTATGAACGTCAGAGTAGCTGCTCTATTGCACCTATAGGCCCTGCTGTTTTAACACAAGAGAGCAGGAATGTTGTAAATCCAAAGTTAAAAGAAGTTGTGGAAGAAGAACAAGATGGCTATGATGCCAGTTATGCATCTTCATCTGAAGGGCAATATGACAGTGACACTAACCCTTATTATATGGGGGATTTAAGGCCTAACTATAATGAGGAAATGAATGATGCTGAAGACATGGAGATGGAAGAGGGAAACAGACAGAGAGAACCAGAAGAGGAAGAGGAAGAAGCACAAGAACAAAATGAGGAAGAAACAGAGGAAGAGGAATCTGAAGAAGAAACAGAGGAGGAAGAACCAGTGCATTATGAGGGTGACACAGAGGTAGAGGAATTATTTGAGTTGGAGGATGATGAGCCTATTGTTCAAGAAGAGGAAGAAAAAATATATGTGCCAGCAAAGAAGAAGCAGAAGCTGCAAGTAAGGAGGGGACCAACAACAAGGTCACATTCCAGTGTTTTAGAAGAAGTGCAACCTGATTGGAAACCATCATCAGATGAAGAAGATAATAGTTTACTTAAGGACAGTGAAGATGATGGGTTTCATCCACTAGCATTTGTGCTACCAGAAAAAAGGAAGAGCAGGGCAAAGAAGAGGCCACCTAGAGTATGGTACAATGAGGATTTGGAGCAACCACACCAACAACTACAACTGCAAATGTGTTTCAGAGATCAACATCAATTCATAGATGCTTTGTTGAGCCTGGACATCACTCAGTGCAGAGACTTCAAGTATCACATGAACTCAGATCAGAGGATCATTGTGCATTGCAAGAATTCACAATGCAAGTTCTGCATTGTGGCAGCTGTTATAAAAGGGGAAAACACTTTTGCAATTAAGAAGATGAGATTACAACACACTTGCCCTAGTTCTACTGAAACAAGCAGGGTAAGTGCCAAGTGGCTTGCAAAGCAATATGAGCCACTATTCAGATCTGATGTCAGTACTAGCATACATACACTTATTGATGCCTGCATGGAAAAGTATGGTGTGGATGTGCCCAAGGCAATGGCATATAGGGCAAAAAACCTAGCTGTTGAGGCTGTGTTGGGAGATCATAGGAAGCAATACCCAAGGCTGAGAGACTATGCTCAGACTGTCATGGATACAAACCCTGGGAGTAGGGTTGTAGTCACCACTGTAACTCCAGCACCCACTCAAAAAATCCCACATCTAGGACCCAGATTCCATGCAATGTTTTACTGCATCAATGGAGCAAGGGAGGGATTTCTACAGGGGTGTAGACCATTCATTGGTTAGTTCATTTTAGCTTGTGCACTACTTTGATTTTTTTAAGTTTCAATAGCTTGCACATATAAATGCATTTAACATGTTATGTTTACATCATGTTTTAGGTGTTGATGGATGTTTTATCAAGCTGACCATTGGTGCACAAATCCTTGCTGCCACTGGTAGAGATGGCAATAACAACATATACCCACTGGAATTTGGCATTGTTGGACAAGAGGACAAAGCAAACTGGTGCTGATTTCTACACCAACTGAAGATTTGTCTTGGAGGAGAAGTTGGACAGTATGGTCCATATACTATAATGTCAGACAGACAGAAGGTATGTCTATCCACCTTGCATTGCCTGCTAAATATGTGTTGACATGTGTATTACACAGTAGCTTAGCTGTTTAAATTGTGTGCACCAGGGGCTACTGTATGAAGGAAATATGCCCTAGAGGCAATAATAAAGTTATTATTTATTTCCTTATTTCATGATAAATGTTTATTATTCATGCTAGAATTGTATTAACCGGAAACGTAATACATGTGTGAATACATAGACAAACAGAGTGTCACTAGTATGCCTCTACTTGACTAGCTCGTTAATCAAAGATGGTTATGTTTCCTAACCATGGACAAAGAGTTGTTATTTGATTAACGGGATCACATCATTAGGAGAATGATGTGATTGACATGACCCATTCCATTAGCTTAGCACCCGATCGTTTAGTATGTTGCTATTGCTTTCTTCATGACTTATACATGTTCCTA